GCTGGAACTTTCAGGCAATTCTAGGTTGCCTGCTTTTCCTTTCCTTTAGCTTTCTTCAGCTCCTTTTAGATGGCTGCTGCAGGATGTTTATCTGCCTGGGGCCCCCTGCAGTGTTGTCTCCCTCGTTTCTGCTAATGCACCGGGAGATTCCTTTGCGTGGATTGCCAGACTCCTGGTGGTTTTCTGAGCTGGTTTCCACCGGTTCCCCGCCCTCACTGAGGCACTGGAGGTCCAGGTGTTGGTGTTTGCCTGCTCTACCACCTGGGCTTCAGGATTCTTCACAATTGGGGCTTCAGGGCTCCTACAGCTCACCTGGTGTTGGGTTGGAATCAGCAAGGTCGGGGCTTTAGGAAGCTTTAGGTTGTTTTCTTCACCTCCTTTCAGATAAATGCCGCAGGGTACTTATCTGCCTGGAGCCCCTTGTTTTTGCTGAGGCACTGGGTGACCTGTTTGCTGGGCTACTGCACTGCTGCTCCTTGTCTTTCTTCTAGTTCAGGTGTTCCAGGGTTTTTTTTTCCTGGGGTGATATTTTCTGGGTTTTCAGAGGTTGATAGGGGAGAGTGAGAGCAACTACCTTTTCACTCTGACATCTTGGCTCCCAGAAGCAGAAGTGGCACATAATGTATGTTAAGGGTGGGGCATATAAGGAAGATTGTAACCAAGAAGGATTAGGACCAATCCTGACCCAGAAGGGAGGAGTTAGACAATTAGTAACTATAAAGCTTGCTCTGGTTTCTTTTATGCACACATTTCTCCCCTTCCAAGGAGGTGTACCCACTTCTCACAAGGATCTAAGGGATGCACTTCAACCTCTTTAATAAAAAGTCTTTGAGACACCAGTCTTTGGAACTGAGTCTGGGGTAATCTTTATAACATATGGTTCTGCACTAGACACATAATAAATGTCTACTCTTATATGGAAGCCAGTCAAGGGAGAGGAAATGTCACTAAAGCTAGCCATAGAATTAGCTCTCAATAAATATTTATTATGGTCTCTCTCAGACAGTCAACAATCTTTTTGTAACTTCTACCCTTACCTGGGGGATTGGTAGGCCAAGTGATGGCCAATTTCACAGTGCTAATATATGCCTGAAGAGAAACTTGAACCCAGGTCTTCCTGATTCTAAAGCCAGCCCTATATCCATTAGACCATGCTACCTCTATTAATAATAAGCTTACATTTAAATAGCATTCTGCATAACAATTCACATTTATATGTCTCATAAAAGTTTACTGAGCTCTTTACTCACAAGGCTATGAGATAGGAGGTACAAGGATTATTATCCTCATTTAACAGATGTGGAAACTGAAACTCACTGTGGAGAAGTTCCTTGCCCAGGAACAGAGCTAGTATTTGAACCTAGATTTTCTGATTCTCAGATTCTCTTTGCGTTTATTAAAGAGGGGCCACAATGAGTATAGCAGGGTCATGTTGTAACAAATTTCAAACTGTAATGATATAAGAAGAGAAAAAGAAGTCTCCTTCCACTACTGACCTCTCTGGCTTCCTTAAATGCCAGCTAAACTCTCACCTTCTACTGGAAGCCTTCTCCAACTCTTCTCAAGTCCCGTGCCTTTCCTTTGTTAATCATTTTCTATTTAACCTGTATATACTTGCTTTGTATGTATTTGTTTGCATGTTATTTCCCCCATTTAAGTTTCTTTTGGGCAGGGACTGTCTTTGCCCCTTTTTTTTGGTATTTAGTGTTTAGCATAGTGCCTGGCACATAGTAGGTGCTTAATACAGGTTTTCCAATTTTTTAAAAAGTACCCACTATGTGCCAGGCACTTTTCAATATTGTCTCATTATTATCTTATATTTGGAGTAGTGCATGAGACTTGGAGTCAAGAAGACCTGAGTTTAATCAAGCCTCAGACACTTCCTAGCTGTGTGATTGTGGGCAAGTTCTATCTGCCTCAGTTTCCTCATCTGTAAAATAGGATTAATAGCAGTTACCTCCTGAGTTGTTATGTTCTGAGGATCAAATGAAAATAATGTTTGCAAAGCTCTTTCTAAATCTTAGAATGCTTTATAAATGCTGGCCACTATTATTATAGTACTGAGAATACTTCCTGGCACATAATAAGTACTCGGCAAATGATTATTAATTGATTGATTGAGATCCCTAATGAATATCAGAACAAAAATATTCTAAAATATACTGCCAAAGTGTCTACAACAATATATTATCATATACTATGGCCAGGAAGGGTTCATAGCAGGAACGCAGGTTGAGTTCAATATTTGGAAAAGTATAAATATAATCAACCATATTAATAACAAGACAATAAAAATCAGATGATTATATCAAAGGTATAAAACACTTTTGATGAAATACCAATTTCTATTTTAAAAGAAACTTGAGGAAGCATAAGAATAAAAGTGTTGTTCCTTAATATGTAAGTAGTATCTATCTAAAACTAAGAGGCAGTATTATTTGTAGGGAAGAAACATTTGGAAATTTTGTAATGAGATTAGTGGTAAGGCAAGGATGATGTCTATTACTGACATAATTATTTGATAGAATACTACAAATTCTAGCTATAGCAATCAGACAAGAAAAAGAAATTGAGAGAATAAGCAAAGGTAAAGCGGAAGTAAAATTATTGTTTTTTCAGATAATATGATGGTTTCCTTAGAGAACCTTAGCAGTTCAACTAGAAATTGACACAACTTCAGCAACATAACATGATGTAAAACAAATCCACAGAAATCATCACCCTCTCTACAGACAAACAGCAAGACCCCACAGAAAAAGATAGAGAAATTCCATTCAAGATATCTTCAGAATATATTAAATACTTGGGAGAAAAACACAAGACATATGTGAATACAACTAAAAACATTATTTACAAAAATAACAATGTACCTAAGTAATTAGAAAGTTATTAAATAGTTATGATTGGCCTATGCCAATATAATACCAATGATTAATATCACCTAAATTTATTTATTTAGTGGTATACCTAACTCTCAAACAAATACTTTATAGAACTAGAAAAAATAATAACAATTCATTTGGAGGAACAAAAGGTGAAGAATATTTTTTTTTTAAGCTAGGCAATGGGGTCAAGTGACTTGCCCAGGATCACACAACTAGTAAGGGGTATGTGTGTGAGGTCGCATTTGAACTCAGGTCCTCCTGAATACAGGGCTGGTGCTCTATCTACTGCACCACCTAGCTGCCCCAAAGGTCAAGAATCTAAAATGAAATAATGGGGTGGGGAGGAAGAATGGGAAAGAAGGAGGCATAGAAATATCAGATCTTAAACTATCCTCCTGAGTAGTAATCCTAGAACTAATTAGTACTGGCAAAAAACAGAAAAGCTGATCAGTGGGGCAGATTAAGAACACATATTTCCAAAGCAAATGAATATAGTAACAGTATTTGATTAACCTCAAAATTTGTCTTTATCGTTTCCACCTTTATTCTTATTTTCTTACCCATTTGTTATTTGATCTAGCCTTTGTAAAGCAGTCAATAAAAACGAATTCACACTAACATGTGTGTGGTTTATTATAAAAATTATTTCTAGTGGATCTAACTTTTAAAGGAAATCATTACCAAAATGGCTATATTGGAATATGGAGATTTTAGGGCTGAAAGGAACCTTAAAGATCAAGTCTGACCCAAGGCCCTCATTGTCATAGGATTCTAGAATCACAGATTTAGAGTTGGAAGGCACTTTAGGATTCATCTTATCTAACCCCCCCCCCTTGACAGATAAGGCAAATGACCTGGGGGGCTAAGTTGTCCAGGGACACACAAATAGTATGCAGAAGACCTGGGTTTTGAACTCAAGTCCTGACTCCAAATCAATGCTCATAAAACGGGTTATGTGCCCACCAGCACATAACTAGTTAGTGACAGAAGCCAAATTCAAACTCAGATCTGACTTCAACCTTAGGGCTCTTTTCCTCTGCCACTACTTGATAACAAAGTGAAATAGAAGTCCCTGACTTCAACACCATCAATTACTAAGGCAACTGAAGACTACAGAGGTGAAGTGATTTGCCCAAAGTGACAGGATAGTATGTAATAGAGTCAATTTCAGAAACAAAGTCCCCTAATTCAAACTCCAATTCTCTTTCCACAGTAAGCAGCTGGGATTTAAAATACAGTCTTCTGATTCCTGGTCTCCCAATCCGAGAGCCAGCAGCCTAGGAAGACTCCTAAGATTTACAGCTGGAAGGGCCCTTCCAAGTCCGGTTAAGAAAAGCCAAGAAAGGTTAACTGATTGGGTCCAGTGCACACCCATGCTGTAGATAAGTGGCTGAGCTGGGATTTGAACTCAAGTCTTTTCTGGCTCCAAAGTCAGAGCTCTTTGTGGCCACACCATGAAGGAGAAATGGTAATGCATCAGGTGGGTGTAGATCTTTTAATCAAGCCCTGCATCCTTTCCCCACAAGACTGGCTGTGCATTCTCTGACCAGCGCCTCCCACCTCTCCCCTCTCTCTCTCTCCAGGGCAGTTCCCACCCCCCAACCCCCTCACCATCCCTGCGCTAGGGATGCCGAGAGAGGAATGGACTTGGAAACTATCTCGGCCACGACAGCTGAGAAGGAGAGTATGAATGTACTCGTTTGGGACACCTCTGAGCGAAGGCCAAAATTCTCTCTTCGTCCACCTGGCGGGACATTCAGACAAGCTTAAACCCTCCCCCCCCACTCCCCGCGCTCCAAGTCCTTCCACCCCCTCCCCCTCCCCTTTCCCCACACCCCGCTCGCTTCCTGCCCTGGGCAGTCCTAAATCAACCAATTCTCGGCCCAGTTGGAACTATCTCCCGCTGAGTTGCACCCAACGACTTCCCCGGGGCAGCCTGCCTACTTGCCTGCCGACCCGCCCACCCCGCCTGCCCTCTCCTCTGGACCAAAGAGCCAGCCCTGGCCCTCCCAGCCCGCAGCGTGACTTAACAAAGCGGAACCAGCAGTGAAAGCGAGGCAAATACAGAAAAGAACACGCGCGGACACTTCTGGGAAATGCAGTCTTCTCAACTCTGCCCGCTAGCCTATCCTTTTCACGTGCCTTTCAAGTCCAGCCTTCTGATTGGTTCGAAAGACAATCGTTTCCCTCCCACTGCGCCCGCCCCTTCCCCTGAGGCTCCCTCAAGCTCCAACTAGCCCGATTTGTGAGTCAATAAGGCAACGTGCTGGGAGAGTGCAGTCAGCAAGTTGGGAGGTGCAAACTCTCTTCCCACCTCCTGTACAACGATCAAGACAGACACGACGACGACAATCCTGCTGGTGGCCGGACAGAAAAATGGAGATACTTTTAATGTCCTTGGCCATAATCCTGGGGTGCACTGTCTTTTATTTATTTCATCAGCAAAGGAATCTGCACAGACCCCCTTGCATAAGTGGCTGGATTCCTTGGATTGGAGCTGGGTTCAGGTTTGGAAAAGCTCCTCTGGAATTTATAGAGCAAGCAAGAATCAAGGTAATGGGGGTGGGGGGGGGAGAAGAAAAACAAGTTTTACTGCCCGAGTTTCTTTTTGTTCTTTTGCATTTTTATCTTCGTAGATGTTTTCCCATCTACCCAGTGACAATGGAAAGTTTGTTGAAAGCAGGAACTTCCATTTTAATGTTTATATCACTGCTCCCTAGCACTAGTTCTTGGCATATAGCAGATTCTCAATAAATGTTTCTAGAGTGGAATTAAATTTATTTTTTCTTCTTTGAGTCCAGGTTAGATGTATGTGCATGTGGCATACTTCATGCCATGCAAGCTATATCTATATATCTATGTATGTATGTATGTATATGTGCATATGTATATCTATGTATGTGTGTATGTGTGTGTGAGTTTGCAGGTGATTTGAGCCATGGCTTGGACTAGAAAAACTAAAAATTCGATGAAGTTGTTCTTGGGAAACTTATCAGTTGTGTGATTATTACTGGTAACAGAATATACTGTTATTATTTCTTAAGCTTAGCTAAAATTGAGATTTCTTTTTTAAGTGTTTGGCTGGGGGTGCTGGTAAATGTTCAACAGCCTGGCTTTCAAAAAAAAACGAGTTTAAAGGACACGCTTTTATGTTTAATTTTAAACTGCATTATTAACATTTTCTTTATCAGTTTCTTAAGGCTACACAATCAACAAAACAAAAAAACAAACAAAAAAGCCCAGATTTGTAGCTTTGCTGCTTAAAGGTGTAAATGCCCACACTGAAATTTTAGCAGTTGGTTCTGAACTATTTCAAGCTGGTTCCAGCACATCATTGTATGATTGTAGAAGATCAGGGAGGAAAAAATATTGTCAAATAGAAGATTTTGTAAGTTTTCAAAGTTTATTATTGCTGCAAAACTTGCTAATTATTTAATCTTTCCAACTTGATCAAATACTTGAGCCATTTTTTTTGTTCTCAAACTAAAATTGCACAAATGAGTCAGTGAATTTCACAAATTTAGTGAATGTTAGACCTCTGAGAACAGAGCTTAGAGAACATTTTACCCAGCCTCCTCTTTAATCTACATATGCTCCAGGTGTCAGAGGTCCCTTCCTGTAATGAAGAGCTAGGGTACACTTAGTGGAATTTCTCTTAAATCACTGTGACTCTTTTGCAAATCGCTCCCCACCATCCCCCACCCAGCTGAAATATGTCTGGCTTATTCCAAAGGTGGCTGTCAGCTGTATCTTTTTAAAACTTGTCCTAATTTTTTTTTTTCAAATTGAAAAAGCTAATGTCCTTCAGTTCTAGTATTCTGGAATTTAGTGAACCTGAAATATATATTCACCCTCTCTATAGGCTCATATTGTCCTTCCATCTTTGCTTTTCTGAGCTTAAACCTTGTTTTCAAAGATTTTTTAATATAAATTTGTTAATTTTTAGTTTTCAACATTCACTTCCACAAGTTTTTGAGTTCCAAATTTTCACCCCATCGCCCCCCTCCCCTCACCCCAAGATGGCATACATTCTGAATATCTCTTCCCCTAGTCTGCCCTCTCTTCTATCTCTCTCCCCTTCTCTTATCCCCTTCCCCTTCTATTTTCCTGTAGGGCAAGACAGACTTCTGTACCGCATTTCCTATATTTCTTATTTCCCAGTAGCATGTGAAAACATTTTTTTTTTTAAAACATATGTTTTTAAAACTTTAGGTTTCAAATTTTCTGTATTCCTCCCTCCCCACCCACCCTCATTGAAAAGGCAAGCAACTCAATATAGGTTGTACATGCAGTTATGCAAACCACTTCCTTAGTAGACATGTTGTGAAAAACTAACTCTATCCTGCCCTCCCATTTATTCTATTCTTTCTTTTGACCCTGTCCGTCCTCAGAAGTTACTTCTGATTACTCCCTTTCCCAGTCTGCCCTCCTCTCTATCATCCCCCTGTTCTCTTGTCCCTTTCTCCCCCTATTTTCCTGTAGGGTAAGACAGATTTCCATACCCAATCGAATGTGTATGTTATTCCCTCCTTAAGCCAAATCCTACCAAGAATAAGATTCACTCATTCCCTCTCACCTTACCCCGTTTCCCCTTCCACTGTAAGAGGCTTTTCTGGTTTTTTTTTGTGAGATAATTTACCCCATTCTACCTCTCCCTTTCTTCTTCTCCGAGTATAATCCTCTCTCATCCATTAATTTTGTTCTCCAGATATGACCCCTTAATCTTCAGCTCACCCTGTGCCCTCTATCTATCTATCATCTACATATACATACATATAATTTTTTTCCTCTAACTACCATGATACTGACAAAGGTCTCATGAGTTATAAATATTATCTTTCCATGCAGGAATGTAAACAGTTCAATCTTAATAAGTCTTTTATGATTTCTCTTTCCTGTTTACCTCTTCGTGTTCCACTTGAGTCCTGTATTTGAAAGTCAAATTTTCTATTCAGCTCTGGTCTTTTCATCAAGAATGCTTGAAAGTCCTCTATTTCACTGAATGACCATTTTTTGCCCTGAAGGATTATACTCAGTTTTGCTGGGTAGGTGATTCTTGTTTGTAATCCTATCTCCTTTGCCCTCCGGAATATTATATTACATGCCCTGTGGTCCTTTAATGTAGAAGCTGCTAAATCTTGTGTTAGCCTGATTGTGTTTCCGCAGTGCTTGAACTGTTTCTTTCTGGCAGTTTGTAATATTTTCTCTTTGACCTGGGAACTCTGGAATTTGGCTGTAATATTCCTAGGAGTTTTTCTTTGGTGATCTCTTTCAGGAGGAGATCTGTGGATTCTTTCAATTTCTCTTTTGCCCTCTGGTTCTAATATATCAGGGCAGTTTTCCTTGATAATGTTTTGAAAGATGATGTCTAGGCTCTTTTTGATCTTGGCTTTCAGATAGTCCAATAATTTTTAAAATCTCTCTCCTGGATCTATTTTCCAGGTCAGTTGTTTTTCCAATGAGATTTCTCACATTGTTTTCTAATTTTTCAGTCTTTTGGATTTGTTCTTCTGTGTCGTGATTTCTCATAAAGTCAGTGTCTTCCAATTGCTATATTCTAATTTTTCAGGAAGTATTTTCTTCAGTAATCTTTTGGATTTCCTTTTCCATTTGGCCAATTTTTCTTTTTAGGGCATTTTTCTCCTCATTAGCTTTTTGGACCTCTTTTGCCATTTGGGTTAGGCTATTTATTAAGGTGTTATTTTCTTCAGTATTATTTTGGGTCTCCTTTAGCAAGCTGTTGACTTGTTTTTCATGATTTTCTTGCGTCACTCTCATTTCTCTTCCCAGTTTTTCCTCTACTTCCCTTACTTGCTTCTTAAAATCCCTTTTGAGCTCTTCCAAGGCCTGGGACTGATTCATATTTTTCCTGGAGGCTTTGGATGTAGGAGCTTTGACTTTGTTATCTTCTTCTGGTTGTATATTTTGGTCTTCTTTTTCTCCAAAGTAAGATAATATAGTCTGACTCTTTTTGCACTGCTTGCTCATGATCCTGGCGAATTACTTGAGTTTTAAACTCTTTGTTAAGGTATGAATCTGCTTCCAGTGTGGAGAATGTACTGTCCCAAGCTTCAGAGGGTTTGTACAGCTCTTTTCAGAGATCCTTGTAGGGACCTGTAAATTTTCAGTTCTTCCAAGCTGAGGCGAGGTGTTTACTCCTTTCCTGGCCTTGGCCTGTGACTACAGGTACTCCCTTCTGTCCTGTAACTGTGAGGAGGGTTTCCTCTCCACAATCACTACAAGCTCCACCAATGGCCGCCCAGAACTGTGGCCCAGATCCAAACATGGGCAAAGCAAGGATTCCTGCCTCAGCACTGGCAAAGAGATCCCTGCAGTCCCTCTCTGATCAGCCACTGGATTCCCCCTCAGTCTGTGGGCTGGGAGCTTGGGAAGCAGCTGCCCCCCCAGGGCCACGCTCTTGGGGAATGGAGCTGAAACCCCGTGTTCCTCTCACAGCACTGAGAGAAACAGACTTTTCCCACTGACCTTCTAAGTTGTCTTTGGCATTCGTGGATTGAGGAGTCTGGAAACCTCTACAGCTGCCCGAGATTCAGTCCTCTGAGGCCTGCTCCAGGTTTGCTGTGGCCTGCGCACCCATGCCGCGCTGAGCTTCCAGCCCAGTGCAATATACCTTTCTGATGAATCATCCAGGTTGTCTTGGGCTGGAAATTTGTTTCACTCTATCTTTTTATGGGTTCTGCTGCTTCAGAATTTGTTTAGAGCCATTTTTTTATGAGTATTTGGAGGAGTTTGGAGGAGAGCTGAAGCAAGTCACTGCTTTCACTCTGCCCTCTTGGCTCCGCCTCAAGCTTAAGCCTTCTTAATTTTATTTAGCCTGTTCTCATCTCTAAATATTTCTTTGCTAATTTAGTGACTCTTATTTGGACTTCTCCCAGCTCCATTGTTTCTTTCTTTAAGGTATGGTGTTCAGAACTAAACTCAGTGCCTACTTAGGTACAGACTCTACTCCCTCAACCCCAATTTTCTGGGTAAAATAACATTTTCTGTTTTGTTTCTGATGTGCTTCATGATGGCTCCAGTTTTTCTTTGGGCTTTTGAGGTATTAGATTCAATAATTTATTCAGGGCTTATATTATTCTAGATATGGGGGTGGGGGGGTTAGAAGGTGATATAAGACACTGATCCTGTCCTCATAGAGACCCCGGTGAGGGAAGTAGTATGAAATGAGTCTGAGATGAGAGGTAGGTAAGTTGCAGGATATAAAGGGTTATAAATTCCAGACTAAAGCGTGGACATTATTGACTAGGTATGAGTGTTGTTGGTTGTTAAAAATCAAATAATTTACAAAAAGAAAAAAAACTAATGGAAAGGAAGTTTGTTTTTTAAATTCAACTACTGTAATTTCTGCATCAAAAAAGAATAGGAACAAATTAGCAACATTTCTTACATATTCCAAATAGTTTATCAAAACTGGTTCACAACTCGCAAAATATAACATTCTGTCAGTGAAGACTTTGACCTTATTTAAGCAGAAAAATAAATATGTATATGTATGTATATATGTGTACATATATATATACACACACACACAT